CTGTGATGAACAGAGTGTCTGATGAACCTGCAGCTCTCTGACTGATGCTGTTCTGAAGCAAACGAAGCACCTTCAGTAGATTTACAGGGATCCTGTGTGGACCACAGACATGTATAATAAAAGGCTTTATTATACATATCTATGGTGGGACCTCTTTACTGGTCAGGCAGCAACGTCCAACAGTCTTGTTGTCGTCATGAGGTTGCTAGGCAACCGGCAAAGCCTCCAGGAAGTCGCTGCATGCAGCCAAAGCACAACCCCACGTTATTCACGGATGTATGCGTTTGTATTTATTTGACAATCTAGTGGTGTGATGATCTAGTCCACGTGTAGTGATCTGTACTGAGCACCGTGGAGCCACGAGCCGCTGCCTGACAGACTCAGCGCGGGGCCGCCTCCCCCACGTCACCTAGCAACGGTTGCTAACATCAGTGCGGTGTGGTGAAGGAGGTCGCTGCTGACTGCTGAACTTATTTCTTCAATTTTTCAGCTTTTAGTGTAGCTTTATGAGCGAAAACTGAACGTGTTTGATTAGCTGGTGAGAGGACAGCGTGGTTTCCACCAATAGGGGTCGTTGTTTAGAGTCATGAACAGAGGAAGAGCTGCTGCAGACTCAGACCAGACCAGAGACACGGACTCTGATGGTAATCACTTACTGCTTTGCTTTCACCTGTTCTCTCACTACATGCTGGTATTTGTGGCAGAAGATCATATTTACTAAACTATTCACATCATTGTGTAAGAAACAGTCCAGCATTCAGTTCATACTCAGACTTTTACCCCAAGGTGGGGCTTTTATTTTGACATCGTGCTGTAGTTTAATGAAACATGCTGTACATGTAAATGTATTGTCAACATTATGTTTAGTGAATAAAACCTGTAACCACAACTTCAGTGTCTGTGAGGTGATCTCCTCACTTGATCACTTTCTTTTGCTGTAAATAATTATTGTAATTATTTTTAATTAAAATGGCCACATTATAGTACATAACAGTGACTGAATTAAAGCAATCAAGAGTGTTAATTTATATACAATAAATGTACATTTATAAAAACAACAACAACAAAAAAAAAAAAACAAGCATCCTTATTCTATTCAGTTCAGTTTTTTTCTCTTTTAAAAGAAAAAGAAAAAACTTAAAAAATAAAACGAAAACAGATAAGAGTAGATCAGTAGCATCAGTATCGGTTAGAGCACTGATATCTCTACTTGTTCATATCATGTAGCCACTTGCTAATAATATGCTAATGCTGTTTAAGCAGAGGCTGAGCTAGCCAAGCTTCAGAGACGTTACAGGATCATGGAGCGAGACCAGCAGGCCTACAAGGTCAAGGCCCAGAGGGAGCTCCGTAAACAAGAGTGAGGTCCCACCGATACATCCCATCATCAGCAGTGTGTGCAGTCTTCATCTGAGTAACTGTTTGCCTGTTGTGGATGAAGGCAGGTGAGGGAGCAGCTGCTGAAGGAGCAGGACGAGCTGCACCAACAAGCCGGCGTCAGTAAGAACCCGTCCCACCAGCAGCAGGACAGTCGGGAGGCCCAGCACATCCGGGCTCTGCTCCAGGAGGGCGACGCGCTGGACGAGGAGATAGAGAACGAGATGCAACGTCAGCACGGGCAACAGAAAGAGGTTGGTTAGAACCCGGTACAGCACCTCCTCCCTCAGAGATGTTCCTGCTCACATGACCTGTGGTTTGTGTCGTACGTCGGTGAACTGGGCAGATCTTGAAGATGGAGCTGAAGCTGGCAGAGCTTCCTAAAGGAGAGGCCTGTTGGAGCGCTGCAGGGAGATCTGGGAAACAGCTGACTCAGAAGCTCATGAGGAATTTGCTATGCAAGCTGGACGAAGTGAGAAATGAAACTCATTCCCTGAACTGTTCTGGAGACGTTGTGTTGTTGTTGTTTGTCCGTTATCTACTGGTAGACACTTAGACGTGCTGTATGAATAACGCTGAATGGACGGCTGTGCATGATGTTACCTCTTGTATAATTTGCATGTGTCCTTCTCCAGGCCTTGACGTGCTTCAATGAGCAGATAACTGTGAACAAACAGCTGAGAGAGGAAGTGCAGACTCTTCACACCGAGCGTGTCCGATTCCAGCAGCTACGCAACAGGCTCAACAAGGTCAGAGGCCACATGGCATTACACGGCTTTTCCCTTATTTATTTTTCCACTTGAATAGAAACCGTCACAGAAAAAGATCGCTGACACTCGGGTCTTGTAGGAACTGCAGGAAGTCCGCAAGAAGATCCAGGAGGACACCAGCCTGGCCAGCGCTGTGTACGATGCCAGGTGAGGTCCGAGGCACCTGTGTGATGTGAAACAGATCCGCCTGATCCTCGGCTCATGTTTGTAACCTGCATTTAAGGGCGGAGGCTCAGTCCAAGATGACCACGATGCTGGAGAAGGCAGAGAAGGAGCGTGTCCAGTACAACGCCGAGATGAAGGAGCTGCAGAGGGTCATCGCACATGACAGCAGCCTGAAAGGATTCATGGGCAACAAGTACACACAACGTAAGAGGAACTGATATTACATGTCAAGATATTCATCAAGTCATGCAGTAAGTGCTGGTGGTGCTGTCAGTAATAATGACAATAGTCTGGAACAACATCAGACACAAACTCCTACAGGAAGGAGTCTAGAAATGGAAACTCCTTCTTTGTTCCTCTGAGGATTGAGCTGAAGGTTTGTTTTCTTCTCCTAAGCCAGACGCTGCAAAAATGTGTGAGCAGATGTTATTTAATAGTGAATATTTAGTGTCTTCTGGATCAATACAGGGCTGCAGGTGGATCAGTGGTTAGCACCGTTAGCGCCTCGCAGCTAGAAGGTCGCCGGTTGGCGTCCCGGTGAGGACACCCGGGATCTTCCTGCGTGGAGTCTCCATGTTCTCCCCGTGCAGCGTGGGTTCTCTCCGGGTTCTCCGGCTTCCTCCCACAGTCCAGAAACATGCTGAGGTTAATTGGTGATTGTAAATTGTCCGTAGGTGTGAATGTGAGTGTGCTTGGTTGTCTGTCTCTAAGTGTAGCCCTGTGATAGACTGGTTACCTGTCCAGGTGAACCTGCCTTCACCCTGAGTCAGCTGGGATAGGCTCCGCCCCCCATGACCCTGGTGAGGATGAAGGTGTAGAGATGATGGATGGATGGAAGTTGGTTCATTATTTAGGATTTTACTGCAGAATGCGATCAGACTGAAGGATGAGGCTTAAATGTTGTGTAACTGCTGATGAAATCACAGCTAACTCTGCTAACGTTGCTACTGGCTCAGAAAAAACAACCAAAGTGTGAAAGTACAGTCAGTCCTGCCAGCGAGTCTCTGTAGAGAAACAAAAAGGATCACGTGCATGTTTGGTAACTTGGTCTTCTCCACGGCTGCACATTTGCTCGCTCACAGGGAATCCTTGGACTCAGTGGGTTTTCCTTGAATATTTTTGTCAGATGCTGACTTCAAATGAGTCCCGTTAGTCTCCATAGTTCATGATGCTGGAGGGTCTGGGCCTCAAGGCTTATTTAGTCTGGTACACTTGTGTTTAGCATCATTTTATAGGGTTTAAACCATAATAGTTTCATTATTTAAGTAAATGGACATAAAAATAACACTTCAGGGCCTTGAGCTCAGCATTTAAACTCGGTAACCTGGTAAAGTTCTGTTTACTGGTAGCAGCTAAAGTCCTGCAAAGTTCTCGTCATGTTCTTAGAGGGACGTCTTGCTTGTTTGTTTGTTGGTTCCCAGACTGTTCTTCTTAAAGGCAAGACAGACGAAGGAACTTCTAATCTCACCGTCTGGTGATCACTGTTAGGCGTTGCTCTGAGATCTTCTGTTGTGGTTGTGAAACGTTGTGGGGATGTTTTATAAAGGAAACGTCCATCATGAGTTTTCTCAACAACGTCTCTGAAACATCTTTAATGTGTTTCACCTCAGCTAGTAATCACATTACAGGAAGCTTCTATAAAAAGGCTGGAAGACGTTTTCTAAATGTTGCTCTGGGAACGTTCTTCCTCTGTTATCGTGTAAACGGGTCTGTGGCCTTCAGAACGTCCTCCAGATGTGCACTGACAGCTGTAGTCTTAGTTTACTCTGAGGTTAAACATTCATTAACCACCTGATTAAAACTGTCAGACCTTGGTAGAGCTGCTGGTCGGCCGCTGACCCCGACCTGGACTGACTGAGGTGTCCAGTCAGAATCGTAGCCGTGACAGGAGTTGGAGCAGTGGTTCTGTTCATTCTGGTACCACTGTGGTGTGTTCTGTTTCTGCCAGTGTCAGAGCTGAAGGATCAGAACAGGATGGACTCGGAGGAGGAGTCGCCGGACGCTCTGGAGGAGATGTTTAAGGGGATCCAGATCCTGACTGAGCAGGACAGCGTGGACCAGCCGGTCACCAGAGTCGCCAAGCGTACGTCTCACCAACACAGCTTCATCCAGTGATAGAGGAGGTGGTTCATGACATGATCTTCACATACAGCAGCAGGCCCGCTCCAGTCAGTCATTCAACCTCTGAAACTTATTTAAATATTAGATAAATACATGTTTAGACATTTAGAAAAAGAGAAAATAATCCGTCAGTGCTTTAAAACCATGCAGAGTCAGAATGAATGTACAGATGTGTTAAAGCTCTGCCTTTATCGCTGCAGCTTCAGAACACCAGCTCATCTACAACTCCAGTCAGAAAAATGAAAGTTTAATGAAGGTGATCATGTTTTGAACATGCAAACGTCTCACCGCTGTTTTGCTGTTCTGTAGCTGGAGACGTCTATAATTTTGTGACCGAGCAAAACAAGGAGATTGAGGCACTAAGGAAGGAAATCAGCCAGGTGAGTGTGTTTACTATGTCTCATTAACAGGTGAGTGTGTGTTTACTGTGTCTCATTAACCAGGTGCAATCACTGAAATGACTTGCAGTCCGTTTACATTGAAGAGTCCAGACAGGAAATGAAATGAAAGCGGAGACAGAACAGTGACAGAAGTCAGTTTGGGTTAAAGCAAAGCAGAAGGCATGTCAGTGAACATACGTTGTTTTATTTCTGTCTGTTTGCACCTGAATGTGTGACTCTGCAGGTCCGGGAGGAGATGGAGCAGTACCGGGCTGAAAGCTTGGAGCAGGACCAGGATCACCGCTCACGACTGAGAGACGCTGACGAGAAACGACACAAAGCTGAAGCTCAAGCGGAGGAATACGAAAACCAAGCCAACAGCATGAGCAGCGTCCTGGACGAGATCATGACAGGTTCACCAGCGCTTTACTTCATAGATCGGTCTATCTCCAGTTACTCTTCAGTGTTCAGTGAATTATAAACAACTAATTCCAGTGAATGACGGTATCATCTGTACACACATGCAAAACCTGGAGCCAGCAGGCAGACATACAGCTGGACCTCTATGGAGACAGATGTGCACCGACAGCAGATATCTGGTCAAACACGGCTAAAGAACAAAAGTGCAGCTTGAAAATATTTGCTGTTATTTACATTATCTACAGTTTTTAACCGTCCGCGTGTCCATTAATACTTTTCTCTGTGAATGTACTTTAACAAATCTGTGAAATAACTTGAAAATATATTTGTAGTTTTTCAGTCATTCACTTTTCTATATCTGTACATTAACAATATTTTCTCTGCTGGTTTTGATCCAGTACAAAAGAATTACGCAGTTTTATGGTCACACATTGTAAATGCCTTCGTTTTATTTTATTTTTTAAGTTAACGTGGACATCGTTTGTGTGTAAAATCTAAAACAGGTAAAAAACATTTGTTTTTACAGCTCAGTGGATGAATATTGAATAAATATTTGCATGGGCTCCTCGGTTCTTTCATGGAGAACCTATTTCCCTGAAATGATCAAGAAACTGCAGAAGCGTGAAACACAGATTGCTGTGAGATGTTTGTGTGTCTGCACACAGAAACAGGCAGTAATGACCCACCGACAACAGCCTGAGCAGACATTCATCACACACAGCGCTCCACAGAACCTGACTCCTGGTTTCTCACTGCCACAGGAATAAACAGCATCTTCTCTAAGATGGAGTGTGAGCGCTCAGTGGCCGAGGAAACGCTGGGCTCGTCTGCAGGCGTCACGGAGAACAACTTCATGTTCTACCTCGGCCTGCTGGAGCAGAAGACCAACGAGCTGCTCACCATACAAGCGTTCCTCACCTCGAAAGTAGCCTCCCAGCCTGCTGCACTGGTTTCACATCAGGTCCACTCTACATACAGACTTTTCTTTTATTTCTGCCTGTGATTCTGTTTTTTTAACTCTTACAGGATCCAGAAAAGGACTACAATCCAAAGGACCTGGCCAAGATCCTTCTGGGTCAGAACCCAGAACTCCTGCAGCAGAGCATGAGCATCCAGCCTGCGGTCGACAGGTCGGGCTTGTAGTGATTACTTGTTTGTGTGTGCGTGCGTTTGTGTGACTGAACTGATGTGGACGTGTTGGTTGGACCCATCAGAGTGGACTACGATGCAGAGGAGCGTCCCATCACCGAAGAGGAAGAACAGCCGCTCTCACAGGCAGAACTTCGCCAAAGAATCCTGAAGAAGGTGAGTGAGACATGAACAGGATCGCTCATGGCGCTGATCAGGTTTTTAAGGGTTTTGTTTGTCTCCTCTGCAGAAGGAGAGTTCTGCCCGGCCGCCGTCGACCAAAGCCTCAAAGACGGGCCTGCTGTTAGCGGACCGACGGCGCTCCCTGGAGGACGTGCTGATCTGACACGGTGACCGGATCGGTGTTGTTCATGTGTTCTTATTAAAAACTGGATCGTAACCAGCGGCGGAACCGACTCGACACAAATAAACATTTTAAAGCATCATCCCGTCATGTGTGTGTGTTTCAGCTCCTATGACGAGCCGTCGCCGGCTGCATTATATGTTGGTGTGATTTGTTTAGTTGGAACTAATTAGGTTTGTGGCCATAAAGACTCTGGTAACCAGCTGTCCTTTTGATGTGTGACCTGCCATCTGGCTTTAACTATGCAGTCTGGCGTGAGCCGGCCCTCCCTCGCTGGCAGCGCTTCATCGCTCGCTGCTATGCTCAGACGTAAAGGTTGGGGGCAGCAGAACCTTTTGTAATTCTAATTGGCACGCTGGGACGCCGTTTCCAAGCAGGAGACGAGGAGCTTCACTGGTTCTGAGCACATTTGGTTTTGTGGAATCATATTGATAAACCCCAGATGTATGTAGATTAACCTCCCGTCTGCCCAGAACATGTCCTGTCTCCAGGTTCCCTCCTCCAGAACACTGCAGCGGGCTTTGTGCAGAACGACGTCACTGGGAGTCAGTTTAACAGATCTTATGCTGAAAGTGACATTTTTTTCTGCTCTCACCTGAAGTATTTAATCAAAGGTGGAAGCAGCAGGTGTTAAATCACAGACTGGTGAGTGTAATTAGCAGCTCACTCTGGTGTAGGAGGCATCTGAACAACTTTTGGAATGAAGACGGTTTGTGTTTGTGTCACTTTAAAACTTTCTAACCAGATAGTAGATTTTTTTTATTATTATTTGAACAGCTATAAACGAAACGGAGAATTTCTGCGTCAAACATGCCCGGAGGTGATCTTTGAATAAACTGTCATCTTGACTTTTCTGAGCTCCTGACAAACATCAGTCCAGTCTGTAGTGGATTCATACAAGGCAGATCTTGTTTCTCATGTATGTCAGTAAAATCAGGAGCATCTGAAACAGTCGCTGTGGCTTCCAGTGAGCACAGATAGAAAAAAAGAAGAAGACGAAGAAATTCCCTTTGATGCTCTGGAGTTTCAAATGTCACCTCAGCCAAACATCCTGGAGTGAGCCTGTGTCGGGCCTCAGATGAAATCCACTGCACAGCAACTTCCTACCAGAGAGCATCAGGATGGAGAGCTTATTTTAGGAAACGTATTTTTACCAACAGCTCGCTGAAACAATTAACAAAGCGTTTTACTATATTTAGGCTGTAAAGGTCACACTGATGCCAGCGTACAGGGATTTGTGTTCACCAGCGACGGAGGAGTCAGACTGAAGTGTACCTGTCTGGACATGAAGAGAGACGTTTGGGCCATTATGGTGATCATCCTGAGTCCTGTGGTTGTAATTAGCTCGTCTGTTTAAGGGTTTTTTTTGACAGAAGCAGTTTCACAAAGAGAAGCTGCTACTCTGCAAACCTCTGTGACTGATCGACCAATGACTCAGTTTGCTCAAGATTATCCCCCCTCGCAGTCTCAACTGTGTGCCTATGAAAACAGATTATCAGAGATAAAAGGGTGCTGTGGCAATAGCAGAGGGATGGTGGTGGTGGTGGAGGGAGATGAGATGGAGGAGGCTGCTTTCTTTGAAATTCAACTCTCACTTAGCCCCCTCCACTCCCTACAAATTCTCGGTGCACACGGCTCTTTGCATTGCCATAGAAACCTTCCTTTTAATCACAACAGAAACCTCATTTCCTGCTCCTGACAAAGAGTCCTCATTGCCTGTAGAGACCGCCCGCATCAGCCCTTCCAAGGCCCACCTCCCTGTGCAGGCTGAGCCTACCAGCAGCAGCAGCAGCCCCTCGCTTTCCTTTTTTTCTCTCTTTTTTTACCCCTCCTCTCCTTATAAGCACATTTTCAACCTTTTCTCCTCCTTTAGCCTCTTAACAGTCTTCCTATTTTCCAGCGCAGCCTCTTTGCATATCTTGTTATGTTAGTGCTTCGTGTCATTCTTTTGCACTGCAGCCGGATTGGGCTGCATTATTTAGCTCAACTTCTTCAAATCCAAACGGTTCCTACGTGTGTTCTCAGTCATGCAGAGAGGAACATGTGAACACAGGTAGTGTTTCTGCAAACTCCTCTCTGGAAGCTGCAAGCTCATCAGCTGAAGCAGTCGCTGTGTTTCTGTCAGTTGCACACAAAACACCGTTTAGCCTTGTTTCCTTAAGTTCTCATCAACTTTCACATCAGCGCAGTGTTCTGCTCCACGTCCCGGTCGTGTTCTGCTCCACGTCCCGGTCGGGTTCTGCTCCACGTCCCGGTCGTGTTCTGCTTTGGAAACGAACCATGTTGGCAGTGAGACGCCTTGTTCTCTTTATCTCTGACAAGCCTGTTATCTGGACACAGAAAATACCCCCTCCGTCCTCCCCCTCTGCCCTCCTGCCCCTCCTGTTTGTTTATGTGGGACCTTTGCCAGGTATTTCCCCAGTCACTCAGTCTGCCTGCACCCCCTCTGCTCCCTCCCCCCGAAGGATGCCACACCCCCTCTCCTCCCCCCTCCACCTCACCCCCGACACTCACACCCTCCCACCCGCCCATGGATGTTGCTAGGCAACCACCCGCCATGAGAGCTGGTACATTTTCCAGCCAATCAAATGACTGAACATGTTTTGTTGAGGAAGCGGAGACGACATCACTTTTTAAAATCCAGCCTCATTCCTGAGGTTGGCAAATGATGGCAGCTGTTTGATTTTGCAGTGAGCAGCGAGCCTTTGATGGTGTTCAGCGCCAGCACATCCCCGCATCTCGTCCCGACCGTCCGCCGCTGGGTGGCAGCACCATCGGTTCCTCTGTTGCCACACAGGCTGCAAGAATTTTTTACTGCTGTTGCTAAGCAATCCTGACTCTCATGTCTTACCTGTGAAACATTTGTGAATTTTACAGATGTCCCTGACACCATTTTGTCTTTGTTTTCACCATTTTGAAATGCACCCTGTTCCACGTGAAGCTGAGCAGCGACTGCACTGTAAAAGCAGGAGTTAATCACAAGAGCCTATTAAACAAGATGTTATTGAACTCAGACCAGTGCAGATAGAGCCGGCATGTTTCTGAAGGTGCAGTGAATGACACGCCCGCCAGGGCTGGGACCCAGGCTTGGGTTAAATATTAGCCTCAAACAGTTTCAGTTGACTTCATGTCGTCGTGCAGGAGGCAGGAAGTGTGCTCTTGAGTGATTAGGCCTGCAGCTCTCGTCCTCCACTTTAGCAGCAGTGGAGAGCTGTGTGTGCTCGCTGGGCTGATACGCTGCAGCTTCTTGTTTCCACACAAAGCCTCAGAGATGAAACGCTGACAGTCGTGATGTTTTCAGCATCATGCAGCCGATCGAGGCCCACTTAGTTTTTTCTTTATCGCGGATTTGTTTTGTCTTTGACACTCTCCAGGTCCCTGCCCCCCTCCACGGTCCCTCCTGCACACGAGTCCCTCATCTCAGCTGTGGTTGCTGTGCAGATGGCTCTTTGTTGGTGCTTCACAATGGGTCTAAGGTCAGTGTGCCTCATGCCATCAGCACACTCAAACTTCTTCACTCCAGCTGCCTAATGGCTTTATTTGCAGCTTATCTGAGCCGATTTTGGATCAAACATTGCTGCTGCTCGCGCACAAATGGTTACATTATGGCCCTGAAATTAGAGGAAGTGATAAAACCACAGATGAATCGTTGAGATATCCTGGTCCTCTCAGGCTGTAAACACATAACATCTTGTTTTCCAGAACCGAGCCACACCGAGGCCCTCCACGCTATCGCCAACGAGCAGTCGAGCTTTGGAGCATCTCTGAGACGAACCAGAATCGAGAATATCGGATCAGCCAGAGAAATAGAAATGCAAATCTACCATCTGCTCTGTGATCCCAAACCAGCCCTTGTTCATTATTTAAGAGCTGATGTAGTACTTGCACATAGCTTAACCCCTAATAATTATTCAAAAGGTACGATTTTTTTTTTTAGAAATGAACAAAAAAACACAGAAAGATCAGTGTGATTTTTGGATCTAATCTGACTTTCACTCGCTCTAATCTCTGACATTTTTGCTAAAACAAGCACAGCTGTCATGAGAACATACAGAATTTATAGACCAGTGATTACGGCAGGAATACAAAGCAGAGGTTTGTCCCTGTGCAGCATGCTGGTGTTTTTCTGCCGGGCACCACTAGGCTGAGCAGCCGGCCATGAGGTCCTCAGACCAGCAAGACGGAGCAGGTAGAGCGAAAGGCGGGAAACCGGTGGGAGGAGGAGCACTTCTTGCAAAGCAGTAGGGATTACTGGAAATTTCCACTTTTCTCTGGCAAGACAGTTACGGAGGTGGAGCTAAGAGGTGAAATAAATAAGGTAGCAGAGCACAAGTTACACTGAAGTGTGCAGCTGGAAGACTGTCTCCTGTTGTTAGATATTAGATTCACAAAACCTGAAATAAAAAAACATGCTTCTTTTTTTGTTTTTGCACATTTTGAGGATGTTTGCAGTATTTCAGCGTCCCCACTTGTTTTCCCTCCACCAGCATTTCCTGTTTAATGTGTGTAAGACCATAACAGAAAACTGTAGGATTTTTTTTTAACTTGCTTCCACCTGACAGCTGTGTTACCATCATCTGTTCAGGAAAACACCCACATCACGCTGCACTGTGGGAAACTGTCTCGCTGCTGCTGCTTCGGTGAAACAACCGTGTGTTGAAAACGTCTCGTAAATTCAATTTGTGATGATTATTTGGAAAAAGAACATGAAATCACAGACGGTGTAGGCTGCTGAAACTTTCAGAATGACTAAACAGACTCCACACGGCCTGTTTAATGATAACACTCCATTTACATGTCAGATCCATCACCCGCTCATTCATTCACTGATCCACTCCCTTTAGAAATCACGATCGCTGTGGCATCCTGGCCGTTACAGTTGACCTTCTTCCCATCACTTTCCTCCAGCACTTGCGCCAACCACACCCCTGCCAGCTGGGAGATGTAATCCCTCCGGTATATCCTGGGTCGGATCTTTTACCTCATCCAGAGAAGCGGTGGCCAGATTCCAGCGGCCTGTGTTTACATCATATTCTGTCATCCAGCTCTCTCTCTTCAGCCACGCCGCTGCAGTGAACAC